ATAGTTGGACTACGGGACGGTATCCCGGGAGATCCTTCGGATATTCTCATATGGTGGACTACGGGACGGTATCCCGGGAGCTCCTTGGACAGTGGATGAAAGGGACTACGGGACGGTATCCCGGGAGCTCCTTGGACAGTGGATGAAAGGGACTACAGGACGGTATCCTGAGAGATCCTCGTTGTTGGTATTGATATTGAGCTGTTTTAGTCTGTGTTATCTTATTCTCTGAGTGTTAATTGTTGCCTTGTATAACCTGTCTTACTTCATAGCTGTACTCATTATTTTCGTTTATTTCATGTTGTTGCAAGATTTATTATTATGCTTATTCTCAGTAGGGCCCTGACCTTCCTCGTCACTACCTAACCAAGGTTAGGCTTGGCACTTACTGAGTACCACTGTGGTGTACTCATGCCCCTTCTGCGCATGTTTTTCATGTGCAGATCCAGGTACTTCATCCCAGGCGTATCACTCTCGAGGCGGAGAGATCTAGCAGAGACTTCGAGGTACATCTGCCGCGTCCGCAGACCAGGAGTCTCTATCTTATTCTAGCTTTAGCAGTTAGCTTTTCCTTTCGTACTTTTGCTTTAGACATTCTGGAGTTAGAGCCGTGTATTACTTTTCGTTAGCTTGTGTTCCCGTGAGTTTTCGGGTTTTGGGATGATATTGTAGACTTCCGCATTATTGGGTTGTATATGCCGAGCGACATTTATATACAGTTAGCCTTCTAGTTTGTTTAGTTTAATTATTTGTTTCCGCAAGTTATGTTACTTCCGCATTGTTAGGCTTACCTAGCCGTAGGGACTAGGTGCCATCACGACATGTTCACGGAGGGCGAACTGGGTCGTGACATTTTCCCAAACAGAATAGACTCTACAACAAGAATTTCCATAAGCTTAACTGCATCATCATCACTCTCGCATACGTGTACATGATTCACAGCATTCTTTGGAATTTCATTTTGAGTCATAAAACTTCGAATATCCTTGAAAGTCACACCCTTGGACTTACCAAAATAGCGCTTCAGAAGATTGCTCTCTCGATTAATTGGTTTTTCAACATTGTGTGCTGTGATCCGCAAACCACACATAATGTGAAAGTCTTCAAGGGTGAAGGAAACATCATGCCCAAAAATCTTGAAACTAATGGAGTCTCAATCATTCGTGAATATTCGAGAAAGACATAGACAATGAACCAACTTCATGCTGCATTGGAAATTCTCCATAGCCATAATGTATCTAAATGTACCATTATTAAGCTTATCCTGTTGAGTAGGAGTCAAGAAAGTTGCAATTAATTTCTTCAAATCATGGTTCGCCTTCCAGTAACTCTTAGAGTTAAACCAATCTCCAAACTCAAAATATCTTTGTCCTGGTTTTGTAGGTGGAGGAGCAGGGACATAAGGACCTTGGGGTATTACAGGTAGTCTAGGTGCTTTAGGTGCTTTGCCTTGTTTAGCTGCATTAGGATCTTTAGGTGCTTTAGGAGCCATCTGTTCAAAAAAAGTAAAGGATACAAAAATAACATTAGGACATTATCAAAAAGATCAGTTAAAACTTCAATACCTAAGAAGGCTGAAGTTCGACATTTACAAAGACAAAAACTTCAGCCATAGAGCTGAAGTTCGACAGGTATAAAACAAAAACTTCAGCTCTAGAGCTGAAGTTCGACAGTTACAAAAAAAAAATTCAACTCTAGAGCTGGACTTCACAAGTAACAAACACAAAAACTTCAGCTCCTAAAGCTGGACTTCACCAGTTACAAACGCAAAAACTTCAGCTCCTAAAGCTGGATTTCACCAGTTACAAACACAAAAACTTCAGCTCCTAAAGCTGAACTTCACCAGTTACAAGCACAAAACATTCAGCAAAAAAACATATTGTAGTTTTTACAAAAAAACAAAACACAGATTCAAATCCAAAAATAATGCCAAAACATGAAAAAAAAACTTCAGCTCATATCTAAGATATCATTGAACTATAGTATCATCTGTTTAACTCTCAAAATTTTTAAAAATTTGAACGCCTAATCACAGAAGAATTTATAGAATTTTCATTAACAACATAAACCTTCGATCAAAAAACCTAAAAACACAATCGTAAAAGTAAAATTAATGCACTTATCAAACTAAACCCTAAGAAAATATTTTATCATAAATACATGAATATCAAAACCAAAATCAGAAATCAAATCATAAAATAAAACCCAGAAAGTTAATGCAATGTACCTGTGATTAAATCGTAATGTGGGAACAACGACGACTAGCAGTTGAAAAATCAAAAACAACAACGAAAACCGTTTGATTTCAGAGAAGAACTTCAGAAAACGCGAATCACGGGAGAGAGAGACAGAGAAAGTAGAGGACTAGCGTATACTTGGAGAGAAAGTAGTCTTTTAATAAGGAATGACAAAATGGTCTTTTCAAATGGCTTTTAACAAAAAAAAACGAGTATAGGTGCAAACAGAAAAACAAAGCGGCTACAGGTTAAAAAAGGGGCGCCCTTTGTCATTTCAAATGGCTTTTAACAAAAAAAAACGAGTATAGGTGCAAACAGAAAAACAAAGCGGCTACAGGTTAAAAAAGGGGCGCCCAAATAGGGCGCCCCGTGCGATTTTTACATTTAGGACTGATAATTTCACCATTAAACAGAGTAATCAAAACCCTAAACCCTAAAACAATGATTAAAGACGTTGATAAGGTCATATTGTGACTTCCTCAGCAAATGTATATATAAGAAGAAAAGAAAAAAAGAGAGAGAGAAGCTTTCTACAGTCTTGAAAGCAATTCTTAAAAGGGGATGAATAAGATTTAATAATAGAACCCTATACTAGAAAAATGGAGAAGAAAATCAAACAAACTCTTTCTTCCTACCCCTTCTCACGTTGAAAGGGTCTCTGTTGAAACATTCAACTAATAACTAAGCACTGAAATTATGAATATTGAATTAAGTATCACAATTGCAAAAAATATCCTAACAGTGACATAATGTGCTCACAATAGAAGCCTATGCTTATCCATTAGGAAATCAAAGTCATAGGTTAGTAACTGGAGTAACTGTTATCTATTTGTCAGGAGTTCTTTAATTAGGTTCCATCCCTTTCACCACTAATATCAGAGAAAACAAAAGGGTTTGTTTTAAAAAAAAAATTTATTAACGGAGAGGCTAGTGGCACACAATTCGAACTCGATGAATAATGAGTCCGTTATTCTACCGTTCTCCACTTAAATACTAAGCTTTTATCTGTGCTAGGGTTCAAACTCGAGACATGCACCTAACTCACACATCAGATTTGCTAGTTTTGAATTCAGTTGGCAATACTAAGATAAGTGATGAAATACATTTTCGATCTCAAGCAATGAAGTGACAGATACACACCATGTTAAATCAACTTAGTCAAAAATATTTACAAATAGTTATTTCTCTATATATAAGATCCATTGTGCCAGTCAAAGTCTTTCCATTTCGCAGTGATTGAGAGTTCACAAAGCAGTTTTAACAACAAAATGAAGCAGGCTTGCTTTCACTAGCATCAGCGGCAATTGCCACTCTCCAAAATGTAGACAGAACGTATTACCTTATATCCCTAAAATTGTTTCTCAATATAGCAGCTGATAATTGATACTAGAAACTCAAACTGAGGAGATCTTTACGGTTTTGTGATTTAGTTAGATGTTGAAGTGCTAGATTTGAAGGCCAGCTGAAGCTTTAACTAAGGAGAAAGAAGATTTTCTTATCATAGCAGTGAAAACGGTGTAAGGAAGAAGTAAAAAGGAGTGAACCAATCCATTTTCTTATCATAGCAGTAATTTTTTTAGAAACACATACAAATGCAGAGAAATGGTGTGCCCTTGTGCCTTTTTTGGATAGCCAGGTAACAAAAGGAAATGTTGTTTATTGTTACAAGTTCAGGATATAAACAGAAGTAATTCTACTTCTTCCTCTGCTGCCTTAAGCAGTGGAAAACTAGTATCCTATCATTGCTTCACTCTCTCTGTTTCAGTAATAGAGATTAAGATAAGGAGATCTAGAATTCTGCTGGCATTCCATTAGAAGAAGCTCATGGTCATCTTTGCTTCTTCCTTGAGATGAATAGACAAGTTCCAATCATTAGCATGATGATGAACATGCTACTGTCTAGTTGGTACATGAAATAATGGAATATTCTGTTCATATGCTCTCCCTTTTATGATTCACATGCTTTGGTTGTTCATGCTTCACTTTTTTCCTATTGTGCATGAATACTGTACAGCACTGTTCTCAAATAATGAAAGCAAAGTTCCTGCTAAAACCTAAAAAGCCACTATTATCAACTATGAAATAAAAGACAATCACTAACCACTTTGAAGACACAGGTTTGACATACTGATGAGCAAGAGAATGTGTTCTATATGTTCAAACATGGAACAGATACTCTAGATGTATTAATAACGACTACACGTCACCAGATGCCGAATTTGAAACGGTTGCTAATTTACATAAAACTACAAAAACAAAAACAGTGAACTGGTGCAAGGTAACTTACAATTCAATCTTAGAACAATGACAGCTTTTGGATCTTCAGGTCCGAGGCTTGGCTGGTAGCTTCCTCCAGAAGAACAAAGCCACACCAAACACAAGTGAAATAAGTAAACCTCAAAACTCAAAACTCAAAAACAAAGATTAGCAATCAAAAAGTATATGAACAAACTTAACTAAGAAAACAAAAACTGGAGGACCACATCAAGATTAGATTTGATTTGTAAAAGAATGACGATGACCAAGCAACAAATCCAGCAGCATACTCCACAAAATTTCTTCCAAAGTCTTTATCCTGCCACAATAAAGAGAAAAATAGGAAACCAGATGTTTATGATATTACTATCTCATAATTCCACTGCATCCTAAACAATTATCCCTTGCTGCGTGCAATATTCGAACAGGCAAAAAGGGATAAAAACATAATTGTACCTTAAAAACTCTTATTACTGACCAAATCAAAGAGAAACTAACTTCCAGAAATAATACGCAAAGTGAAAATCAACTTGTTCTGAAACCAAAATACTAATGATTTCCCTTAACTCTGTTTAATTACATGTAAACCTCCATGTGCTTTTCAACTATGCCATCCATAAGTACACCCCTTTAGCTCATAGCAGTAATTGAAACTATCATCTAACTCCTATTCACTAGGTAATCCCCTAAATTAACAGTCAGCTACAAACAATAAACTTTACAAGATGGAACATCGACTCCAAGTGACCGACCGTACTATTTACAGATATTCCTGGTCTTCATTACTACATGGGGAAGTTGAAATTCTGATACCCTCCTTGATTCTGAAGAGTGTTTTGAGGAGGCACTGTCTTTGTATCCACTGCAGTCGTTATGTCATGTATGCTCGACCTTTTCCGTTCTTTCTTCATGGATTGCTGTCTAAGGTAGTATTTTTGAGCATGACTGGCCACTTGTGTTGGCGTCCTTGTCACCACTACATTTCTTGAAATGCTTCTCCAGTCACCCTTCCCGTATTTGTCCAGCCCAATTAGGAATAACCTGTGACAAGAAAACATGGTTTTCTAGGTCAGTGTTCTATCCATAAAAAATGTAGCAATCCCAACTATCCTATAAAGTCAACATATATCATGAATAATATAATTAGAATATTAGATCTATTAGTATTATAAGTGATGTGTGCCCAGATACCATGAAGAAGAATTCAACAAAGTTTTTCAAAATTTCATAATTGACAGCAACATGTTATCCGTACCATGAAGTAGTTTCAGACCGGCCTTCTAACTTCTTTCAAAGAAGAAGTCAATAATAAAGAATGGCAACTTGCTTAGGTTTATCATAAGTAATCACTTAATTTACAGGATACAAAATGGATAATAAAAACAACAATAACTCCACCTTAATTTCAAGCAAGCCGGATCGAAATCCTCAATTAAAATCCTCACAATCCATCATTCAGTTTGGACCATCACAAAGATGGAATACACAAGTCAACACAACAACAATAATTACTACTAATACATCTTATCCAAGCTAGTGCGGGTCGGCTCCTCACTATCCATCTTACCATTTGAACAGTTTACAAAGATGTTGTTTGTGATAACTTAGAAATTTCCTACAGCCATTAACGACCCTTCTCCCCTTATACTATTCATGATATGAGCATAAGCCCTAGGGTGAAGACGGATTAGACAACTCAAACAAATTCTCTAGAAAACGCCATGAAATGGCAGAGAAACAAACAAAACATGTAATTGAGCCTAAACCAACAACAAAATTACCAAATTATTCCAAGAATTGCAACAAAAAAAAAGTTTTAAGAAAAAAGAAATTACAATTGCTATCTCATATTTTTCAAATCCCCAGAAAATCATTTCCAATCAAAACAAAGTCACGCCCAAAAAAAAAAATATCAAACAAACCTGTGCTCTTCTTCGGTCCAAGGAGTGCCCTTTTTCCTTTCAACCTCATGTTTCTTATTCGACCCGAAAGAGATCTGACTCGTTTTAGAATCCGATTCCCAATCAAACGAATCATCCGGATAACTGGGCGGATCTACACGACCCGAATCAATCTCGAAAACATCATGAACAAGTGCATCATAGTGAGCCATAACATCCTCAGCCGTCTTACCAGGTACACGATTAGCGATTTTTTGCCAACGTTCAACGTCGTTTTCGGAATACATAACTAGGGCTTGTTCAAATAACTTGTCTTCAAACCTCGTCCATGTCGAATTTGAATGAATCATCGTTGCCGTTGAATCGCTACCAATCATCCACCGATTGTTCGTAGTATACATCATCGTCTTTTTGTTTTGGAATATAATAAAAAGTAAAGGAGTCTGAAATAAATAAAGGGTTTTGGAGGGGAGGGATTTAAGGAGGTTTTTGGTAAATATGACCCAATCCGTAGTATATATAGGGAAAAATTGAAATTTATTTTTCTTTTGGAGTTTAGAAGTATTAGGCAATAGGGGTGGTTGTTATTGGTGGGGCAAAATAAGTTTTTAAACTATTGGTGGGGCAGGGGGCAAATGTGCAAAGGAGCTTTATTAAGAGTGTACAATTTTGTCACGTTTTTTACTTTATTTGGGGTGGCTATAAATAGCATTTTAATTTTTTAGCGTTACCGCCTTCGGTCCACTTTAATTGATTTTTGAGTTAATAACTCAAAATCTCCCTAAAATATCATATTTTTATCAATTTTCTACTTAAACTATTTCGGGTCCCCAAAAACCCTGGAACTATATTGCCCTTCATATTAAAACCTCCTCATTGCATTCTTAGAGGTGCGTCTAAGTACATGCTCTTAATTATCTAAAAAATGTGTCATGTAGCACTATATGTGGCTATTTAACCCAATCTAAAACTCGTTTAAACTATCATTTTTTTTAGTTACCTTCTTAAATTATCTGGTGTCCCCAAAACTCCCTGAACTATGTTCTCCTATATATTAAAACCTCATATTGGTCTTTTAAAGGTGTGTTCGTCTAACTATATTAATTTATGATTTGTACAAAAAATTTATATAGTTTACTCATGATGTATTACTCTCGGATGATTAATTAGTTTTAGGAGTTTTGGTCAAAATATCTAATGTACTGTGTTAATTATAGGTTTAATTATGGTTATACTTTATGCTAGACTCCAATTTAACAAGTCCTTATTTATATTCACTTTGAGCACAGAAATATAAATAAAGGTGTACAGTGTAGCATTTCTTAAAAATCATCTTATATTACATAAAAAAAAAAGATTACAAAACATAAAATTTGGCAAATAAAAAATCAATTGGATAGCAATTAGATTCTCTAATTCCATATTACATAAAGAAAGTTCAAGAGATTCAACTTTATTCTCTACAAGGTGTTGAGTTTAATAAGAAGATTTAAATTGGTATTCTTTCAATAATATGTGTAACATATGAAAGAAGACTAAAACAAGGAAGAGAATAAATCATTTCAAAGGAAAGGAGAGAGGGAGAAATTTTTCCAGAGGAAACTCATACAGAGAACTGAAGAAAAAAGGTTAAAAAATGAAGAAAAACGTGAAAAATAAAGAAGAAAGATGGAAACTTAAGGAAGAATGTGAAAAATTGAGGAAGAAAGGTGGATATAATTGAAATAAGAAAAATATTTATTAAAAAACAAATTTGAAAGAAGGTTAGGCTAATTAGCCGTTATTTTATGTCAGGTAGGCCATTTTTATGGCTTTTTTCAGCTGCCACGAGCTCTCAAGCGAGTATTTACACACGTTATGCCAAGTCAGTAACAAGAGAATTTTAATATGAAGGGCAACATAGTTCAGAAGGATTTGGGGGACACCGAATAGTTTAATTAGAAAACTGACAAAAATGTGATAGTTTAAGGGGGTTTTAAGGTATTAACTCTTGATTTTTTAGATGTTTTTACAACATATTAAGGAATTTGCCTTTTAGCTTTAATTAATAATAAAATTGACTATATTAACCTTAATTTGTTCATTGGAAATATAACAAATACTCATAGGGTCTTTACTCTAAGGGCAACTTGAAAAAAAGAAGTTTGTTCCTTCTTGATATTTGAAAAAATCAGATATTATGGACCACAAATAAAAAGATCAAAAAATCAATTAAAGTGAACTGGAGGGAGTAGTTCCTAGAGTTTAGTTGGTTGGTTACTGAACTTTTCACTTTGTTGGTGTATGGGTCAAAATCCATCTTTAGTCGAATTGGTATCAGTAAAACAATCCTGGGGCACCACGTGTCGAAGTAATATAATTATCAGCAAAGGTTGTGATCGAAGAGTCAACAAGTTGAAGTCGAGGAGATGTCATCAAGGTCGAGGTCGAGCACCTTTGACTGAGTTATAACGGCTAGTTTTAAGATAGGACTTAAAGGAGAATACTCTTGTGGATATTCTCTGCCCTTGTACTATTAGGGTTTCTAGGAACATATTACCTATAAAAGAAAAAGAAACACAATGATATGGGACATGTGATATTCATTTGTGTAAATACACTTTACTTTACAGATAATCGGATCTCATTGCAAGCATACAAATATCACCTTTTTCACTAAGATTCTCGTCTACACTTTTCCACCAGATTCGAGAATAACTTAGATATTCAAAGGATTGTCCATCATTCATTATTTTCAAAAAACATTCACTAATTTCATCATTTCTTGGGTGACTCATTCATTCTATTTACTTAAATGTCATTTATTGCTACTCATTAACATTGAATGCTACAGTGCTGCCTTTGATTTCTGTGATATTGATTGCATGTTGCCGCCTTTATCAAAACATACAGACGTAGTATTTATTGCGCTTTTGAGAACTCCATCTTTGAGATATTATTGTTAGCTAAGATTAACCCTCATATATATATATANTATATATATATATATATATACATATATATATATATATATATATATATATATATATATATATATATATATATATATATATATATATAAGTTTAATTAATTAAATCAAGATTTATATTTTTTGGTCAAACAATTGGAACATTCAATTTTATACATTATAGAATAAGATTCTACTGATAATCATCTTCATATCGAGCCACGTGAAATATTGTTAGCCATGATGGAAAGATTAACGACTGAAAGACAATTTTGAGCCACTTTTGATGGGAAATATTTTGTTCGAAATGAAGGTTTAAAGTATAAAAAATATTTAAAAGTAAGGAATAAATATTGACCTTTTTTCTTTATGTGAAAGCCACTCTGATTTTTTTTTACAATTTTCCCCCTATTTTTGAATTGCATACCATGAGGTTTTTATTTACCTTTCTTTTCTTTTTGAAAAAGTTCAACCAGTCATCTAATTTCAAACGGATTTTCTCGTATTAAAAGCTCTTAGATCAACAGTTGGAGTTCCAGTAATGTTCAGTTCATTTAATCCATTCCTTGTTTCCCCTTAGTGTTATTAAGAAGCATCATTAGTTAATTTGACTTTATGCTTATTTAGAGGCCCAATTTACCAAAAAGGAAAAAAAAGGAATATTTGACTTGGAATATTTTGAAGTTGAAATGAAAGAGTTGTTTGTTTGGTAGCTTGCTTGTACAAATTGAGGAGAATATCTAAACTCCGCAATGATTGAACAAAAGTTTTAAAAATATAACTAGGCACAAAGAAAACACATTTTCAAATGGATAGCTAAGTGTTGAATTAATGATGGACAAAACTATTACCAAGACAATTGACACTCCCATTTGAAGGAAGTTTCCAGCAGCCTTTCATTAAATTATTATTACTACCAAGAAAGAAAGGTTATCATACTATTGATAAGAGTATGTTCAGTACATACTCTCTCCGGTCAACAATAAGTGACTAATTTATTTTTTTATTTTGGTCTAAAATAAGTGTCCATTTATATAATCAAGACAAAATTCAATTTGTTTTTTCAAAATTACCCTTATGTATGTATTCCTAAAAAGTTTTTTACTCCTCACATTAAATTATGCTCCAACATTTAATTAAGGGTAGTTTAGTTACACTAACTATTTTTGTCTAGATTTTATTATTTTCTTAATGGGTGTGCCCAAAGCAAATTGGTCACTTATATGGACCAGAGGAAGTAGTAAATATGATGAGATTTTTTTTTGGTATAATAATATTAAATTGAGATGAGATTAATTAGTTCAACATGCACATTAAAGATTCATATAATCCCGACTAGGAGTGGCAAACGGTCGGGTCGGGTCGGATATGGTTCGAGTCGAAAACGAGTAATGAAAAAACAGATAAATTATCCGACCCGAACCATATTTAATACGGATAAAAAATGGGTTAACCGGCGGATAATATGGGTAACCATATTATCCATGATTTCTTGCATATTGACACTTTTGGGAGAACTTTTAGTCTCATAACTTGAGGAACCCCTAATTTGAGGCTTTACAAATGTAAAAGTTAGACCCATTGGTTATCCATTTTCTAAATGGATATTCTTATCCATATTTGACACATTTTTTAGTGGATAATATGGGTGGTTAACCGTTTTCTTTAAACCATTTTGCCACCACTAATCACGACTTGTTTGTGATTAAATCATAGTTATTGTATTGTATTGATTCATGAGGTATTTGTGGTGTATTAGTGAAAAATAGGCTCACCATGTGGGTCTATTAAATGGCGACACGTGTCAGCAAAGTTTGGAGGAAAGCGAAGAATGACATGTAAAGATGATATGTGAAACACCCTCGGGACCGAACATACTCGTACCATGCATGTTAGCCTCGGAACTGATCATCATAAAATATCACTACAAGAAAAATGGCCTATGGCAACACCGATAAAACCGTTGCCAAAAATAGAAAAACCGTTGCAATATTCCTATTGCGACGGATTGGGCTTCGTTGCAAGATAAGGCGTTGCAATTGGTCTGTTGCAACGGTTTTTTGCGACGGTTTCGGAGCTGTGGTCATAGCTGTATCTATCGTGACGGTTTTACAGTAGCCTAATACAACGATTATTAAAAGCTATCGCGACGAGTATGAACTGTTGCAATACGACTATTGTAACGGTGCAAAATCGATGGAATAGACCTACTGGAACAGTTTGTTGATATAGTTTAGCTTATTTATTGCAAATGATTATTATTATCTATTGCAATGGTCATTACAAGCTAGTGTAACAGTTATTTCAGCTATTGCAACAATTTTTCGAGCTATTACAACATTTATTACAAACTATTGCAATAATTTTTACGAGCTATTGTAATGGAGTAAATTATAATACGCTGGAATTTATACAAACCATTAAAGAAAACTATATTCATCCACAAAATCATCATCAAAAATATCCAACTAGTATTATCCAAATATAAGAGAATATTGACTAACAATTCAAGAGTTAGATTGCATATAAGTTTGCAAAATATTCAAAAATAAGTAGAGTCC